GCCCCGACCGGGTGCAGGACCTTGCACTTGACCTTGTTGAGCCTCATGAGGTGCGCATAGGTCCCCCTCTCCACCCTGTCACGGTCCCTCTGGATGGATCCCTTCCCTCTAGAGCATCAACCACCCCACTCCGCTCAGTGTCATCCGCAAACGTGCTGCGGGCGCACTCCATCCCGCTGTCCATGTCCCTGACAAAGATGTTCGATAATACTGATCCCAGTACGGACCCTGGGGGACCCCACTCGTCACCGGTCTCCACCCAGACACCGAGCCGTTGACCGCAGCCCTTTGAGTGCGACCATCCAGTCGATTCCCTGTCCACCGAGTGGTCCGCCCGTCAGATCCATCAGTGGTGCCCATCAGTGCTCGTTTACCTCTAACCCACACCCGTATTAACTTCTAACGACAATTTATTTACCGTCAAGCACGCAATACCACTTAAACGAGCCGAGTCTGGGTCTCTGTGGTGTGCTGCAGCGTTTCTGATCACCGGCACCTTCTTTAATTGCAGAGCTGGCTGTGTCTGATTGCTCTGGGAGTCTCCTTCCTGGCCTGCGGGAGAACGGTAAGCGTCACCAGGACACTGCTCATGGAAGAGTCACCTTCTCACTCCGCTAAGTAGACGCAGTGTCCGTACACAGCGAGTAGCCATCAGAGCCAGTGCGTTTCTATGGTTTACTGTGTGAACATATACAAACGTATGTGCGGTTTGCACAGGGAATAGGTGTGTTAAAAAAAAAAAAAATAATCAGATGTACATATAGGGAAATGTGTTGCTGCTGAAATACTCAGAAGTTGGATGTTTTCTTTGCTGAACGCCTCTAATCACACTTACGGAGGAGCATTACGTCAGTTGTGCAATACAGGAGCTGCCCGTTTTCCAGACACTAACACGTTTTGTAGCGCAGAGGGAAGCACACCGTGCTGCAGACTGACTCCTCTTCCCAGCTAACCTTTGCTCCAGCTTCTTTATGTTTTTGCGTTAAAACCGGCAGACTCTCTCGTCCCTTAGCGTTTTAATCCGTGTAGCAGAAACACTGAAGCTCCAGGTAATTACCGCTTCTGTGCTGAACTAGAGAATCTAGAAAAATAAGCTAGGAAATACAACACGCACCTTTTGGGCGATGTTTGAAGGATGCTCCTGCTGCTGACACTAGGCAAAGAGTGACACAGTGACACTACATCCAGAGTCTACCTCTGCGGTCAGATTGCGGCTGCCGTTCACGATCTGACTGGGTTTGGTTTTTTTTCACTTGAAAATATTTCTAATTCAGAGTGGGGCTGAACGCAATGCACAGCTTCCACGAGGGCAGAATGACCTCAGGGTGGGAAACCTCAGCGTTAGCATTGTCATTTATTTTTTTTTTAGTCACCTGACGTGTGATTTTGGTGGTCAGCAAAGGAAACGAGTTTTAATGTTTATGGTTATTTATGGTTTTGTGAGTTTATTCCCTATGTATGTGATTAATGGAAACGCTCTTTGTAGTTCTCAAAAATCCCTGTTTTATGGCTCAAAAGACTACATTGCAGAGGGTGCCGATAGCCTTGTCCAGGGGGGTCATCACTGTAACACAACTTCAGGTTTTTATTTGCCGATCCTGCTTAGCCCCATTTTAAATTCACTACAAAACCTTTCTCATTACCCTTCTCGTTAGCATTTAATGAGTTTCAGTTACCTTTTCGGCAGAAGCCTTCACCTGGAAGGTGACCTAAGTCTGATATAGCAAATTATGATAGAGAGAACGGTACGTTTTGCTTCTGCGATTAGAAAAGGTCGTCCATCATTTCTCTCAGCATCGGATGAATTTCGAGGTGACCTCACGGCAGGGCGGTTTTAGATGTCTTGATCATGAAAATCGGGTGTCGGAAGCTGTAAACCAGGGGTTTATTTAGCGAGGTTTCTCTTCTCTGACCATCTGGAAGCCTTGGCTGGCTGGCACGGTTAAGGCACAGCTCCACAAAGGTTTTTTAGGTACCAAAATGCTTTTGTGGATCTGAAAGACCCGAGTGCGGGTGGTTTGGTGGTCGCAAACAACCTCTCCTTGTAGATACCCCGCTGACTCAGAACCGAGCCCTGCAGCGAGGGCTCAGGACCAGGCTCTGCCGGTGCCGGCTCGGGCTCTGCCGGGCTCTGCTCGTGCTGCCGCTGGCGCTTCGCAACCTTCCCCCTCCAGCGCGGCGAACCCGGCTTTCTTAAACGCGGTTTACTTTGGAGAATTTGGTCAGGACTGCCCAGGGTTGTTGGTGGGTTGGGCTCCAGCTTTAGTGGGTTGTTAGTGGGTTGGGCTCCTCCAGCTAACGAGGCTTTCTCAAGAAATTCATCGCCTTCCTCGGCGTTTCTCGTGTGCCCTCTAGTCCCAGGCAGGGAATTGCTCTCTGAAATGAAACCCCCGCGGCATTCAAAGCCTCGGAGAGAGAAAATCTGCCGGCAGCACGGTTTGGGGGTTGCTTTTGACTGTGATTTCTTTTCTTGTATGAACAAACCCCGGGCGTGCCGCGCCGCTCGCTCGCGTTGAGTTCGTGCGAGAGCGCGCAGGAGGTGAACGGCACAGTCAGGGGCAGCACGCTCATGTTTTGAGCTCTTGGTAGTGTTTTAGCCGTCGCTGCCCGAGTTTTTAGGGAATTTCATGATGCCAGTGACACATTTCTTAGACGCGGGTGACAAAACTCAAAGCACGGCATGAAAACTTCATTTTAATTATGGGCAGGATCGTTTACGCTATCCCTACCCTTTACCAAACCAGCTGAACTTCGCTTGCTTCCCCCTCAAACTGAGCAAGCATTAAAACACAATGTATTTCGACTTTTCAAATTATTAGTTCAAAAATTCCAGCAGGATTTAACCCCTGTATCGTAACGCTTGTAGGTTTTATACCTATTTCCACAAACAAAAAGCTAGCGTGTACATTGTAAGTGGGAATTGGCGGGGTTTGTTGGACCGGAGGCGTGTTTGTGGCCGACGGGCTCTGTAATCCTGCTGTATTGATCCCTCCGATTTTCCTGTGTATTTGGGATTTTTGATTTGTAAGGTGTCAGAGGAGATTCTCCTGGCTGCTCTGCTGAAATAATAACTTTAAGACGGTAGCTCTGCGCCAGAGCCTCCGGATCGAGTTCTCATTCTTGGCTTCTGCTCCTTGTGAAACTGATTTTATTTTTTTTTTTCCCCCCGTATCTGCCTTTGAACCCTTTTGTACCAACTACCTTTTCGATTAAAAGACAGATACTTTTTCAACTTGGCTTCTTGGGTCTTTTTTTGGGGGGTTGCCCTGAATCGCTAGCGATACCTGGCTATAAAGGAGACTCCCGACAGCTCCGATGCCCGCAGACCACGCTGGCGGGACGAGCTCCCGGAGGGGTGCGCGGTGCCGTGCCGGCAGATTCCCCATCCGTGCGGGATCCAGACCCCCCAGCCTCCCCTGTATTTGCTCCTGGCTTCCCCGCGAGCACGCGGCAGGTCTGCTGTGACCGTGTCCCCCAGCAAGAGGGTGAAGGATCGGGTCGCCGTGAGCCGTGCGGTGCCTTTCCCCGCTGGGATTTCTTTGGTGGGATCCAGGACACGGCACACGCATCCTGCCCTGCTCTTACTTTATCGGCTTTTCCGCCCCCGGCGGTGCCTTGCTCCTGTCCGCTCCTCAGCCAAACTATCAGCTGCACTGAAAAAAAAAATTTTACTGTTTTTTATATTCCCCGGAGCCTCTGCCTTAGCTGTAGCTAAGCCCAAGTGTAGGTACAGAGATTTATTTAAAAATCTGTTTATTTAAAACAGAGATAAGCTAGCCTAAGCCGGTGGGTTTGTAACACGGGAGGTCGGAGGGATGAGCTAATTGTCTCTCGTCTAAAAATCTTTGGGGAAAACGCTGGTAGAGGCAGAAGTTGCCGCCTCGCCGCGTCCCCCCGCTCCTGCCTCGAACACCGGCTCCTGATCCAGAGGCTGGGGATTGGCGTTGCTCCGAGACCCGCGATCTTCCCTTCCCTCCCCAGTGAGCTTCCCGCTCCCCTGGGAAGGAGCCGGGCGCTGCGAGTGCCTCGTGTCTCTCTCTCGGGGTATTTCATTCTTATTTTATTAATTTGTAAGCTTGCCGCCATGCTCTGGGAGAATGAAAGCCCTTTAGGGTTTGTTTCTATCCGGTAAGTCTCGCTCTGTTAAACCCTTGCGCCTGCCGCCTCGGTTTGCCGCGGCCAAGGGGTGTTCGCTGGTCACGTTCACCTCTGGGAGGAGGCGGACGACCACCCCGCAACACGTTCTCTTAATTAACCAACCTGTGTAATCAGTGCTAATTACGGCTCATCTACCCCCCAAATTTAATTCAAATTGAGAAGGAAATTAATTTAAACTCACGGAGGGGATGCTCTACAGAGGAGAACGGCTATTCTAGAGCATCACCATGGGTAGATCCCTTACAGTGGATCGATTGACTAATAAATAGAGTAATATTCGTGCTGCATCAAGTTCTGTCTGCTTAATAACCGGTAATTATCAAAGGCATGGCACAAGCTGATGCTGTAAGCGATGG